GTTTATTAAGGGTAAAGTACTCTTTAATTTTGATTTGCATTTTGAAAATGTAATGTTTGGATATTTGAAGTATGATAAGAGATTAAATAAGTCAAATTTGACATTCATACGTGTACGTTTTCAACAAAAAAAAAACCCTTTCTCAGTAGCCCTTAAAGGAGTTTTAATATTACTTTTCTACTACTCAATCTAGTGCTAATGGAAAAGCTATTCGGCTGTTAATTTGTGTACGTTCTTTAAAATCTGTGAATGATACAAAGGTCTTGTATGTATTTTGGGATATATATATATATATAAAGGTCTAAATAAACACGTATAATAGGCTTACCATATAGTAAATCAGGGTAAGACAAAAACATGCTTTGGAAGAAGAATTGATGATGTATTTGAGTTATTACTTTTATTGTACATTTAAAGCAGGATGGATTCTGATTGGATATCAAAGTTTTTATCGTTCATCAAATGGAAAACAATCGTTCTGAAAGTGATTCCATTCCCACAATGTTGTTCCTCTGTTTCGTTATCATAGAATCTGCTATTCTTTTACATTTAGAACTAAATCTTTAGGTATAGTCCTTGGTGTGAAATCAATTAATCAACACAAACAAAGTGAGGTAATGAGGTAAAGGGAAGGAAAGTGTGTGTGTGTGTAGCAGAAATCCTACCACTAAAAATGCTGTGTTTTCATTATAGCCACTAGAGAGCGCTGAAGGATTGAGCGTTGGACTATTATTATTTATTTATATTTTTAAATAAGGACGTGCCTGATGACTATGGAACGCGATCGGGGTCAAAAGTCTTTAAACGAAACGCGTAAAATTCGACCGCGTCAACACGCATTGTTTGTTCGCTTTAACGCGGCAAAAAGCACAGTAGCCAATGAAATTGCTGTATTTAAGACTATATTTGCATATGTGAGGCGCTCGTACATATGCCTATGATTGGTGTATACGTATACAAACATCAGAAGTCATGTTTATTCATGAAGGATGTCGTAATGGTATACTGGTCAGCACATGTAAACATCAGACGTTATAATTGTGCATGAGGGATAATGGTGCATTGGTACGTTGTGTGTGATGTCATCCTTATGTCATGATTTGCCCTTTTCAGTTGTCCCACGGTCTATCTCAAGTAAGCAGCTGAAACCATGACCATGGCTGCTGTGAAACAATCTATATTGTAGCTTGTATAGCCAGTTAGCCACACACTGAATATTCATACAAGCCAAGTCAGAAAGTCAACTTTATTTCTAAAGCGCTGTGTGTGTGTATATATATACACTCACCGGCCACTTTATTAGGTACACCTGTCCAACTGCTCGTTAACACTTAATTTCTAAGCAGCCAATCACATGGCGGCAACTCAGTGCATTTAGGCATGTAGACATGGTCAAGACAATCTCCTGCAGTTCAAACCGAGCATCAGTATGGGGAAGAAAGTTGATTTGAGTGACTTTGAACGTGGCATGATTGTTGGTGCCAGAAGGGCTGGTCTGAGTATTTCAGAAACTGCTAATCTACTGGGATTTTCACGCACAACCATCTCTAGGGTTTACAGAGAATGGTCTGAAAAAGAAAAAACATCCAGTGAGCGGCAGTTCTGTGGGCGGAAATGCCTTGTTGATGCCAGAGGTCAGAGGAGAATGGCCAGACTGGTTCGAGCTGATAGAAGGGCAACAGTGACTGAAATAACCACTCGTTACAACCGAGGTATGCAGCAAAGCATTTGTGAAGCCACAACACGCACAACCTTGAGGCGGATGGGCTACAACAGCAGAAGACTCCACCGGGTACCACTCATCTCCACTACAAATAGGAAAAAGAGGCTACAATTTGCAAGAGCTCACCAAAATTGAACAGTTGAAGACTGGAAAAATGTTGCCTGGTCTGATGAGTCTCGATTTCTGTTGAGACATTCAGATGTTAGAGTCAGAATTTGGCGTAAACAGAATGAGAACATGGAACCATCATGCCTTGTTACCACTGTGCAGGCTGGTGGTGGTGGTGTAATGGTGTGGGGGATGTTTTCCTGGCACACTTTAGGCCCCTTAGTGCCAATTGGGCATCGTTTAAATGCCACGGCCTACCTGAGCATTGTTTCTGACCATGTCCATCCCTTTATGGCCACCATGTACCCATCCTCTTATGGCTACTTCCACCATGTCACAAAGCTCTAATCATTTCAAATTGGTTTCTTGAACATGACAATGAGTTCACTGTACTAAAATGGCCTCCACAGTCACCAGATCTCAACCCAATAGAGCATCTTTGGGATGTGGTGGAACGGGAGATTCGCATCATTGATGTGCAGCCGACAAATCTGCGGCAACTGTGTGATGCCATCATGTCAATATGGACCAAACTCCCTGAGGAATGCTTCCAGCACCTTGTTGAATCTATGCCACGAAGAACTGAGGCAGTTCTGAAGGCAAAAGGGGGTCCAACCCGTTACTAGCATGGGGTACCTAATAAAGTGGCCGGTGAGTGTATATATACACACACACACACACACCTACAGCAGAGTGCGAATTACCCCACCATAATTGGGGGGGTACTGCTCCTTCACTTCTTCTATGACCATCATGGTCCACTACCATATCAATCACATGATCGCCAAGTCCAACATGTGTTGTGCAACACACATACAAGGTCTAAACGTGCGACAAACTGATAATCAGTAGGCTACAGAATATCTCATTGTTATAGCTACAAAAGAAAACTGTTTTGATCAACTCCCAAAAGTTAGAAGTTAAGTGCACTAAAAAACCATTCTACTACCGGTAGTAAAACTAATACCCTTACAAGAAGTCTATTGCCTACTCAAAATGAGGCGGAGGTGGTAAAATGATAAAAATGTTATATTTTAATAATAAGATAATTAAATGTGTTTTTTTTTTGTTAGATCATCATATAGCCTAATGTGTTTCCCACATTTTTTGTTGGTGGAGTTTGGTATCTCTTGGGGGGTCCGGGGGCATGCCCCCCGGAAGATTTTTTTTTTACATTTTAAACATAAATTCATTAATCTGGTGCACTTTGAGTCACCCAAATCCACTATTAAAAATAAATAATCCACCCGCAAACCGCGCCTATATTTAGATGTATGCATCTGATCATCGCATTACAATTATTCAAATTCTTAGTGTTAAGCATGATAATATATCACACTGAAGTAGGCTGATTTAAAATGGACATTTATTTAAAATAAAAGTTGTTCTTTTGGCAAAATTACATTTCCTTAATAGCCTAAACAGAGGCTTTACTCCCTTCAAGCTAAAATTGTCAATGTTTCATTACATCACTGTTTGAAAACACTCAGAATAATTTTTTGTACCTTTATAAAGGGCATTTTCCCCTAATTTTATTAAATGTATGCTCCATCTTTCATTTCAAATTCTTAAATTTGATAAATATATTCAATTAAAATAATAAACACTAGGGTGTTATGTTACCAATAAAATTAAATAATAATTTACATTGAAAAGTTATAACTGTATTAAATTAGAGTATTTAAAATATTTTTGAATATACAAATAAGGAATGTTGTAAAGAATGATACTTTATGAAACTAGCGTTTTGTCATTCAACGTTGTCACTTGCTTGAGAAGTTGAAGTCGTTCTCTATCTCCATTGCTTCTAGCCACGGTGGTTAAAAATGGTACGGTCCACAATAGGGGTGTCTGAAATCGCTTTATATTAAAATGTTCCTACAGTGAAAATAGGAGTTGACTTGTATTGTAACTGTAATTATATTTTTTCACAATATCAGAAAAATTATCTGACCCCCCCAAAACTGATATTTCTGTCCCTTTGGGGGTACCCCCCAGTACCCCCTGTAATTCGAACTATGACCTACAGTACATATATAGCCTATTTACACTAAAAAGAGAAATTCAAAGGGGGTAAAAATAATTTCTTTCTTTCTCAAAATTGAGTTTTGATTTCTAAGTGATCAGTTTATGTACAAGTGTTTTCCCACATGATTATTGGCTGTAGGTCTTCAGTAAATTAATGTGGCATTTAAATGGCAGTGTTTCCCAAATGAAACACACGAGCTGTTAGTTTTGAATGATGTGTGTAATGTAGAGAAATGTGTTTAGAGTTTGTTTTTCAAATGCAAACTGAGTGCAAAGCATAATGTCCTTGTTTTTTTGCAGACTTGGTCTGAAGATTCGGTACATGAGTGAAAGGTTTCACCGAGTGAGCCTCAAATTCCACTTTTAGTGTCTTAGCAATTTGAAAAAACTTTAAAACAAACTGTGACAGAGGTCGCCTATGGAATGAACAAAGAAAATTTTAAAATTGCAATATTGCATGGAACTGAAGCATGAATGGAAGCAACAAAAAAGACTGCAATAAAAAAACAAAACAAGAGACAATTATTTTAGCGCAAGCAAAAAAAAAAAAAAGAAAAGAAAAAAATGGCACACATCAGCTTTGGAATAAAAGAAAAGAAATACCTGGAAATCTATTTGTTAGTAATCTGTGTCTTTAAAATATGATTAAGTAGATAAATGCCTTCTCCTGTCTTAATAAACCCGGTCTGGGAAACCGCCCCTAAAGGTTTAACTAAGTAATCCTTGCCACTATAACCTATGGCTTCCTAAAGACAAGTTTATGGGCAAATAAAATATTAATAATAAAAATATAATGAATATCAAAACACATTTTAAATATAATGTAGTAATTGTATTATAGCACTCCTCAGCCTGCAGAAGCCAAGATGATGTTCCTGGAAACAATACAGAACAGCAGAAACAAACTATACAACCAACTAAACACCAAATTACAAAACATTATTGTGTGAAAGTGAATAAAGTTGTGTGTGTGTGTGTGTAGTGCTCCATCGACGAGTGTTGAGCGTGGGTTGTTGATTCAGTATTTGGATGAAAAGAGACTGTCTTCCCAAAATTCAGAAAAACGAATACATCAGACTTCTCCATGTTGGAGTTTAAATGTTTCTATTTTATCCTCTATCTAACATTGGACAATGTTTAATTAAACCATGATGTCACACTGAGACACTGAAGAGTTATAATGAACCCTAAATCCAGCATAGACGGGTTGAGTGAATCTGTTGCGGAATGTGTGTATGTGTGTGAGTGTCTGTGTGTCAGAGACGCTGTAGAAGGATATAGTGCCGGTCGACACATCCACATACACTCCTACTCTATTAGAGGATAAAGAGATGTCAGGAATATCAGTGCTCTTATCATTGTGACGGACAGATAAGCTGTTATTATAGTAGATCAGACTCCAGGATTTATCATTGGATCCAAACATACAGTCAATCGGTCCTTTCTCGCAGATTCCTTTATATGTCACTGATATGCCAACAGTCCCGCTCCATTCAGCCTCCCAGTAACAGCGTCCAGACAGACTCTCTTTACACAGGACCTGAAGAACATCATCAAATCTGTCTGGATGATCAGGATACGGCTGACTCTTAGACACACATGTCACTGTCCTGTTCTCCTCAGACAGAAGGAGTCGAGTGTGTGCTGTGTGTGGATCCAGTCTGAGATCACAGGGATCTGAACACAACAAGAGAGAAACATTTCACTAAATCACACAAATCAACAACAAATCACTGAATGAGTGTGTGTGTGTGTGTGTGTGTGTGTGTAGAGTAGACCTACATTTGTGTAATTCTGCTGCTGTCATTTTATCCACACTATAAAACACAAACATGATTCATATTCATTTTCTAAAGGAAAGACAAGAAAGAAAAGCACACACACACACACACACACACAGCCAGCAGCGTCACTGAACGTGACTCGACAACAGAACCGGAAGACAATACAATGCTGAATAAAGTCATAGTTTTTGTTATTTTTGGACCAGGGACGTGCAGAGAGTTCTTCAGGGGCAGGGACTCAAATGTAAAAAAGGGGCATATATATATATATATATATATATATATATATATATATATATATATATATATATATATATATACTGTATATATATACACTACCGTTCAAAAGTTTGGGGTCAGTGAGAATTTTATTTTTTATTTTTTGGAGGAAAGAAATCAATACTTTTATTTATCAAGGAATAATTAATTTGATCGAAAGTGACAGTAAAGACATTTATAATGTTACAAAAGTCTTTTGAACTTCCTATTCATCAAAGAATCCTAAAAAAAAAAAAAAAAAAACTGTACAACTGACAGACCAACAACTGTTTCAACATTGATAATAATAATGTTTCTTGAGCATCAAATCCTCATATTATACTGATTTGTGAAGGATAATTTGACACTGAAGACACTGACACTGGTGATGCTGAAAATTCAGCTTTGATCACAGGAATAAATTACACTTTACTATATATTCACACAGAAAACAGCTGATTTACACTGGAATAATATTTAATACTATAACTGATTTTTGTTGTATTTTTAATCAAATAAGCGCAGCCATGGTTAGCAGAAGAGAATTCTTTTAAAAGTATTTAAAATGGTACCGACCCCAAACTTTTGAACGGTAGTGTAGTTTTATGTGAAAATCGCTCAATGAACTACATCTCCCGGGAAGCGAAACAACGAGCGAGATCCGCTGCTCGTGTGTGTGCAGTCTGGTACAAAACACTCAGGCATGACGGCGTAACGTTACGATTATAACGTAAGACTATAGAAGCAATGACAGACGTTAGCTTCAGTAAAGTTAGCTTCATTCATTGAGAGAAAATGTGCGCCTTTTGGGTTTGTAGTCTTTTTAATTACGTATTTTCACAGTCTTATACCTCAACAGTTTTACATCAAACTGCGACTTTCTTGACTTTAAAATGTATCTTTTAAATTGACAAACATCATATGTGTAATTCAGGGCACAATTCAAACGAGATCAAAATATTTGTTGTCTCTCGCCATTGACTACCATGCAATATTTTTCCGAAATAAGGTCCCATGGTGGTCGACCGGAAGGGGAGGGACTTAGGCTCTCTATTGTCCAATGAAATTTGAACTTGTTGTGCCTGATGACGATTGGTCGGTGTATTATACATGACAAACCGGCTTCAATGAATTATGTAATATTTTAAAATATGTGATGTTGATTTTTAATTAAATCGCCACACTAACGTTACCTTTTATTATAAAAAAAAAAAAGGTTAAAAAAATTGCGGTCGAGCCATATAGGCCTAACGTTACTCACTGAAAGAACCATATTTGGATGGAGTGGAGAGCATCGGTTCCCGAGCAGACTGTGGAATATCTAAGTCATACGTGTAAACCATTGCATTTTCATTTTAAAACACATAACTTTCACTACAGTTGCGCCTGCCGTCCACAGAGTTTTCGACCCTCGAAAACGGAGACACCTCTTCAGTGAGTCAAGTCCGAAGCAAGACAGTCACATGCAAGTGACGCAACCCACAGCAACGCGTTATGGCAACGACCATAGATGGCAACGACACCTCCGACTGACAGAAACGTAAAAATAAACGTGAATTTAGGGTACTTTGGTCTTGTACACATTGTCATGTTAATTATAATCAAATGCATTGTTTTATTGACCACAATATTATCATTGATATTTGTTTGAGAAGGGCACTTTTGATTAATTTTGAAAAAGGGCAGGGGCTCGAGGGGCTTAATCTTAATCTTAATTTATGGAGGCGACCTCGACCTCTGAGGTAAACGTGGTCGCAGCTCGCAGACCAGACCGCAGTTGTGTCTGAGTAGTTTTGCGAGTTTTTGAATTCTTTCCAGCCATCTTACGCAGTCCGGAGTTAGACTTTCTAGTAAAGAAAATACTGCAGAGTAAGACTATACTAAATATGTAACGAAAAAGCGCAGAAAAATAACAATATTAACCTAAATCGGCTGGAGCTTACAAACTCACGTCCTGCTCGGCAGCGCCCCCGGCCATCTGTTTTCATTGAAAAGGTAAGAACAGAGTTTGTTCTTACTTAGAGGACCATATCAAATAAAAAACAATTTCACATTTCCGAAACAAAAAGATGAGAGAAGATGTCAGCATGACTATTTTAATACAGTCTTAGTCAATGGAGAAAAAAATCAAAAGAAGCTGGCTTATGTACTCAAAAAAGAAGGACAGTTTGTCCTGCAAAATCTTTTCTCAGAAAGATTTCAAATTGATTAGAGAAGGACTAAAGGACTGGAAAAATGCCAGCCAATTGCTCAAGACCCATGAGGATAGCCATGAGCACAATACAAACATGGCAAGAAGGAATTAGAGCTTCGTCTTGCAAAAGGGATGAGCATAGATAAGCAGGAGACGGCACTCACTGAGGCCGAGAGAAACAGGCGAGAGGTGCTTACCAGACTTAGCCTGACTACGTCAGACTCCGTACTTCCGCTCAATTTCAGTTCGCTTCTGCACTCAGTCTGAGACATCGACATGTCTCTCTGTTTTCCTCCGGCCTGAAAACAGCCGGCCAATCAACGAACAGAGGGCGGGCTGAGAGCCGTGACGTAGACGCTAAGCGCCGAGTTTAAGATTGGGGAAATCGAAAACGACCGCGGATATGGAGACACGGGATGCAATTCGCTCTGTTGTGGAGAATATTCCCAACATTTGCAAACTGAAGCCCGAACAAGAAGAGTGTTTGTTAGACATTTTGAATGCAGGTGATGTTTAAGTTGGAGAGAGAGGTGATTGAGTTATGTGATTGGCTTACGGGTAACCAATGATTTTATACTTCAGACAAGCGCCCCCCCCCCACGAGAAAGAAAACACTTTTCAATTATGCCATTCCAGACTCTGTCTATGAAGCAAAGCGAAGTAGCAGAGTTTGGTATTACCAGGCTATACCAGACTGGTGGCAATAATTCAGTCCTTAGCTGAAAGAAACATTGCTTTAAGGGGATCCACAGACACATTAAACAAACCAGACAATGGCAATTTTCTCAAAGAAGTGGAGCTTATGGCCAAATTTGACCGAATAATGAAGCAGCATGTTGGTAGCTGGAAGTCACACACATTACCTGGGCAAAAGAATCCAAAATGAACTCATAGACTCAATCAGCACAAAAATATTGGAAGAGATCAAGACCTCAAAGTATTTCTCCATCATTTTAGATTGCACCCCTGATCTGAGTCATAAAGACCTGGGCCCGTATGTATAAAGCCACTCAGAGTAAAATTTTAGTCTCAAGTCTGTCAAAATTCTAAGAATTACATAATTTTACTCTTATTCCTAAACTTAAGAATAAGCGTAATTCATAAAGGTTCCTAAGTGTTAAGACTTGGTCTCAGCTCCTAAATTATTTAAGAGAGCTGGAGAGGTCTCCTAACCTAGTTAGGAGTAACAAGATGGCAGCAGAGAGGTTAGGCCATGCACTTTTCAACGAAAATATGATGTAGTTAAATGAGTTGATCAAACGATAAAAAGGTTTAATCATCAAGGTATTCTTTTTGTATCTTACCTTTTAAAAAAGTTTTATAGCAATGAAATTAAAGTAATAATTATATTTTTGGGGACTGGAATGCAGCAGTGCACCGGTGATGACTCGGGCCCTTCAGTCCACAGTTAGTAGGCTCTTGAATAGCACTATTGTGACACTGACCACACCAAATATACAGTGGTGGCCAAAAGTGATGTGCAGAGTTTATTTATTTATTTATTTTATTTAATGACCCTACAAGTTTGCTTCAACCTTTTATGAGGAACATATTTTTATATTAATATCTTTTTAATATTTTAAAATATGAGGGAAGAACAAAACACTAAACTTAGTGAAAGTATTTATCTGACAAAATTATTTCAAGTCACCTTTATTTCTACAATGCTTTTTACAATACAGAAGCAGCTTTACTGAGATTACAGGAAAATAATGCAACAAAGTTAGTCTTGGCTGTACAGCAGCTCTAGAAGAGAATAGTGTCATTGTCCTGCTTAAGTAAGTTCAGTGTTTATTAATTTCAACCAGAAAGACTCGGGAGGCAAAATGACATGACAAAGTATACATTTATTAACAGCCCATCAAGCAAGTATTGTGTTATAAAGTTCTGTTGCGTAGGCCCTGTCCCTAGCTCGCAATCCGAGGGTAACGGAGTCTGTTTTTACTGCCTGAAGACGCAGGCGGAGCACAGCCGACCCCCGGGAGGTATGAGGTATGGACAGGTGAAGGACCCCCGGGTGACGTGACAATTTAGTCTTCCTGGCAGAACTTAAGCTTTAATTTCCATTGTAAAAAATCATTAGTTATCTATTTAGTGATTTATCTATACAGCCACTCTGGTGAAAACAGTGATGTCATCGTCCAGTTCAGTTCAGTTCTCATATAATGGTATCAATGCAGGCAGATCAATATTATTTTTAAATATTAACTGACAAATAAGGGCAAACTACAGCTACAGGTTTTAGAAAAACAAAACAAAAAGATAGAGGGAAAATTCTTAACTGGTGATACTTATATCTTAACAGGCTTGGGAGGGATTAAATAGATTAATGGGTAGGCCAAATAAAAAGGATGATAACTGTGTAAGTAAAAGTTTTATTAATGATTTAAATAACTTTTATGGTAGATTTGACACTGTGGAAGGCAAGACTGAATGTGATGAGATATGTAATAATCTCCCTGCAGAATCATCAATAGTTATCAATGAGGCTGGTGTCATGGCAAGCCTTTGTAAACTAAGGCCTAATAAGACCACTGGCCCAGATGGTTTAAAAGCATGCCTTCTTAAAGA